CCAGTGGCTGAGCATTGTAGCAGAATGTTGCGAAGAACGAGAATGAGAGCAGCAAGACATAATGAATACAATTTTACATGTTCCACATTAAAATTAAGCTGTTTGTAGACTGACCTCACTGTGACTTACGGTGTTCGACACAGAGCCAACTAAGTATTTTTTTAACTCGTTAAAGCTGAGACGCAAATCCACAGTCTGTTGACAGGAAACCAAGAGAACGTCAGTAGCATTAGCTAACGTTAGACCAGCGAGTAACCTAGCTAGGTATGCTAGCCTAAATGCTTAATTAATTTTGAAGGTGAGTAACTTGTGAGTAATTACTAATTGCTGAAAAATACAAAAATACATCGTGTCTCAAATGTCAGCAAATTTCAATGCTTTTTGTTAATGAGTACAGAGAGTTTGCTTTTGCTATCTTTCACAACTGGAATACAAAGCTAGCTAACCGCTAGCTCATATTTGAGATTACTGTATAGCTTTTTCCTAACCGACCTCATCGTGCCTTCCAGCGCTAGAAACACAACTAAGTATTTCTCTATTCTGTTTAAGTTGAGACTTAACGTGCGTTAGCAAGCTAACGTGAAGGGAACTCCCCTGCTTTGTTCAACAGCTGTAGTTTGGCACCGCCTGCAGGCTAACAGGAACAGGACAGTGACGTTACCATTAGCTAACGTTAGCTAACAAGCGCGAGCACTTGACAAACCCAGTAAACTGGCTAAGTGTGCTAGTCTTAATGCTAAACTAATTTAAAGGTGAGTAACTTTGGAGAAACTAATAGCCAGATAAAGAAGTTGAATATTTTACAAGTTTAAAATGTAAGCAAATGTCAAAGTCAGTGTCTGAAATTAGCATTGAAGTGTAAAAGGTTTGCTTATGATATATTTTTCACTGGTAACACTAAGCTAGCAAATCGCTAGCTACATTGCTAACATTAATCTTTCAAAGTCTTTACATTTAACATACTGTAAGCAGCGAGGTGTCGGTTGAAGTTATAATAACTAGGTAATTATAGTGCAAAACTGTAAATTCATGCAATTCTGACATAGCAGGTAACATTGTTTTGTGTTTTAGCCATTTGTTATGTTGTTACGGTTAGCTCACTGGCCAAAGCCATCATGTAAATATAATATACCTAATAGATATGTGTATATACATATACATATATATATATATATATATATATTGTGAGGGGGAAAACGATGTAATATGTTTTGCAGGGTTTTTTCCATTTTCCATTTATTTTTGTTTGTGTAATAGAGGAACCTTTCCAAAAATGTCAAACTTATGACAGTATATTACTCTGTTAATTTCTAATGTAATGTAGCCTACATAATTAACTTATTATTATTTAAGCAAAATATTATATACATAAAAAGATTTGGCTTAAAAGACTACACTCCTTTTATATTTTTAACGATACTGATTGAAAAACATACTGTTCTACTGATGAAACTGGCAAAAACTATGAGATTATTTAGACATTTCAGTTGTTTTCCCATTTGCTCAGCAGACCCTGAGTTTTTTTTTCAAGTTTCTTTCTTTTCCCTACATTTTATTTCTTTCTGTGCAATTGAATTTATTTTGACATATTTTTACATTTTTACATTTAGTATTATGAAATATATTTTTCCATAACTTTCATGATGAAAATCTGGGATGTTCATATTCCATGTATTAAATGTATTCAATAAAGTTCTGGGGAAAATATATGTGTATATTTAAACTCTAGTTTGCTACAAAGCCTAGATATTGTTGGGTGTTGTTTTGGGTGTAATATTCTTTCATTTCCAATTATTATGTATTATTCAGTTACAATTTAAAACAGATAGCATAAGCAAACCTTTAAACACCATCCATCCATTTTTATGCGGCTTATCTGAAGCCAGGTCGTGGGGGCAGCAGGCTGAGCAAAGTACTCCAGACATCCCTCTCCGCAGCGTCTCCTAGGGAATCCCGAGGTGTTTCCTGGCCAGATGAGATGTATAATACCTCCACTGTGTTCTGGGTCAGAGTGTCCTACCAGTTGGATGTGCCAAGGAGGATCCTGATCAGATGCCCAAACCACTTTAACTGGCCCCTTTTGATGCAAAGAAGCAGCAGCTCTACTCTGAACTCGCTCCAGATGAGCTCCCTCCTAAGCTCCTCACCCCATCTCTAAGGCTGAGCCCAGTCACCCTACAGAGGAAACTCATGTTGGCTGCTTGTATTTGCAATCTCATTCTTTCAAGCACTACCGAAAGCTCATGACCATAGGTGAGGGTTGTGATATAGCACCTGCATCACTGCTGATGCTGCACCAAACCGCCTATCCATCTCATGCTTCAGTTTACTCTTGTGAACAAGACCCCGAGACTCTTGAACTCCCTTGCTGGGGCAGTAATGCTCTCCCAACCCGAAGGGAGCAATCAATTCCGGGAAAGAACCATGGCCACAGACTTCGAGGTACTGTCTCTCGCCCGACCGCTTCACACTCTGTGGGCTGTAAACAGCCCCAGTGCGTGCTGGAGGTCACAGTGTGATGAAGCCAACAGAATAACATCATCTGCAAAAAGCAGATCCCTAACTTGACTCTTATTTTGGAAATTAATTTTGAAATTGATTTCGACATGTTATGTTGTACTGTAAAATGCTTGAGTTTTCATAGCCCTGCGAATCTCATATTGTAAATACAAAATACAGTGTTTGAACATTTATAAACATGCTTATGTGTGACAGGTTGATCTGCAAGGTAACAGACACATCACATGATTGATAATTGCATTTTGGTGTCCTAAAATTCCTCTAACAATTAGTGTGGGTTGGTGAGACATAGGTCTTTTTCATAGAAAACATTTAGACATGTCAGAGTAGGAAAAGCACAAATGTAAATTAACTATTGATTAATAGTGGCTGAATACCATTTAGCTGCTTTGATTTCAGGTATTGTGCATGATGGCACACTGTCAAAGTGTCATGGCTTACTGGGACAGCAGAGCCATCGTTAATGTTATCAGTAACAGCAGTGCTTTCCTTACTACTAAAACCAGTAAAAAGTAAATATTTTTGACGTGAAAATGACCTATCGTGTGCATTGTAACAAAGCTAGCACTGTCAGAAACTGATGCACAGCAGTTCCACGGGGTGTTAAAATAGGGAAGCAACAGAACAGTGACAGTGCTACAGCCATTGCCATATCTGTATTCTGTACAGTGAATCAGCATCATGCTGTGTAACAATCTGTTCTGGTATAGAAAATCCACTCACTGAATATTATGTTGTTGTCTCCTATATTCTCTTCAGAGACCTGCTGTGGGATTACTTCCATGTGTTCTGAAGTGCAGGCCTGGTACAAGGTGAGTTACTGTAACTCTTTTACAACAGAGCACATGGGTTATTGTGGTAATGCAGATGGATATATAGACTGTAGTTAGTATGGTACTATACGTAGTAGTCCAGTATTTTGAATCATGAGATTGAGTCTTTCAATGATGAGTTTTTTGTAAATGTGAAATCCTTTTTACTAGGAATGTTATCTACCAAAAGTAAGCTATGCTCAGAAACATTCTTGGCATGATTGCATTCTTTTGATGGAGTGACACTTATTGATCTGAGCAGTGTGGCTTTCAGATGCAGTGTTCACACTTGAGCTGTTTCTATTTCAGGTTTAGTAGATTGGAGAAAATGGATAAAATCACAGAAGAGATCAGTTGGCTAACTGAGAGAGAGCTTACCTCGCCACTCTCCCCCAAGCGACCAAGGATGGATTACACAATGACAAACAACCACAGTGGGCAGAGCAGGTTTGACTTCCCAGAGCTTTTGACATCTCAGAAAACCATTGACTCCCCATCATCAACCAGTGCCTTGATGAAGAAGGAACGTGAGAATACTGAAGATGAAAAACCTCATGAGCAACTGCAAGACAGTAAATTAATTGTCACCTCTGTTACTAAGCTAAATGCGTCACACATTGACAATGAACACACAGGATCATCTCAAGTCTGTTTTATCGGTGCTGAGAGATGCTTTCTACCTCTGGTGAAAGATGAGCAGCCTCCAGTTACTGCAACTGATGAACACAGCTCATACCCAGTAGATGATGCAGGTGGGGCACTAGCAGAGTCTCACACTTCAAAAGACGCCAGCGCTGACACGTCCAGTCACTCTGATTGCAAACAGCCTGGAAAATCACTTGAAGACAAGCCCCCTGTTGGTTACAGTCTTCCTGCTGGAAATGAGGAGGATAGGAGACAGGTGCAAAATAGTGTCAGTCAAATCGAACCATTCATCCTTAGTTCAGGTGATGAGGGGGTCAGATGTCAGTCTGATTGCACTTATGAAGATGCACTATGTGACACAGGTTTCTGCAATACATTCGTCCAATCTGCAGAAGTTGAAGAGAGTAATCAGAGGAAAGAGAAGGATGGATTTTGTGAGAATACCCTTTTCAACAAGGAAGAGGGTAACAATCTCATATGTTCCACAGATTATGTAGACTATAAATCATTCCACTCAAACCCTGAAGAGCAACCCTCTGGGAACTTGGCAGAAGGTGTAAAAAATGAGGAATTACAGATTTGTGAAAATGAAAATGTTGCTGTCTGTGATGGGGAAACAAAAGGCCAAGTCAATGAGAATGAGATGAGCAAAAGCTTCATCTCGTCTGCTGCTGAATGCGTTGAGGGATCAATTGTTTATCATGATGTGGTATTGGCCAGAAATATTGCAATGAAAAGCGGGAGTCTCGAAGCTGACGGCTTCTATGGGGCAAAAGGAGAGCATGCTGCTGGCAAGATGATAGCCACAGCTCCGAGTGAAACGGCTGATCACACAACAGAGCCTCCGATGCCTGCAAGAATCAGTCAAGCGCCTGCTGAAGGAGATAATGATGCGAGCCCTTTCAGTGTAATTGACCCTGCAATGTGGAGTGAAACTGACAGGAAGGCTGAAGAGAACCACCGTAACTCAGAGAGCACTGCAGGTGTAGAATTATCTCCATCAGTAAAAGTCTCCGAGATGGAAACACCTCTGCCACTCTGTTCTGACGTCCGGCTATCACAGGAGGTTTCAGTTCCTGACCAGACCGGACGGTTTAATCACCAAAGCAAAACAGAGCAGTGCAAAGATGAAAAAGAGGAGTCATGGCAGTCACACACAGAGCCACAGGCTTGTTCAGTCACCACTAACGAAACACACAACAAGACTGGCAACAAAGGCAGCTGTCATTGGAGATCCAGTCTCAGCAGTAGTCCATGCAGGCTAGCAAAGCCTTCTCCTGCAGGGGATGGAAGACAAGAAAGCCATGATACTGTGGGACATGAGTTGAAAGAGCAGGATCAGTCTGGCTGCTTTCCTGTCAGTCCTAACCACCCGGAGATGCAGGAAGTTGAATATTTACAGACTGAAATTGCCAGAATTGCAGGGGCAACTGAGATAAGAGAAAGAGAAGAAATGACAAGTTCTGAAGAAGAAATAGGAGCTGATGAACATGGGAAATTAGAAAACTTGTCAGACTCAGAGGAAAAACTGCCACCACAAAATCAAAAACACACAGAAGATGCAACTGAAATATCAACTGGTGATTGTGACAAATTATCACATAGAGATGATGAATTGGAGATTAACCTTGAATGCTTGTCTGATGACTCATACAATGCTGTTATTTCAATAAAGGAAGGGACAACAGAGGAGAAGGAAAGAAAAGAAGAGGCAGGTGGTGAAGAAGAAATGGATGTGCATGGTAACTCTGAGATATTAGTGAAATCTGAGGATGATCATCAGCCACAAAGTCAACAGAAAGGAGACATGACTGAGGAATCCATCAGTGAATGTTCAGAGGGCAACATGTGTAGAAGTGGCCACAAATCAACTGTACTAGGTCAACATGAACAAGAAAACAAACTCAGTTGTTTCTCCGATTGCCACCACAGAGCCGAGACATTCATGGCTGAAAATAAAGATGACCTTTTGGCTGTCACGTTTCCCCCAACAAGTGATGCAGTTGTGCCTGGCCCACATGAATTACTCCATTCACAAAATGCTGACAAACCCACAGCCCTTAACTGTAATGACAGATTTTCCCCAGTGCCATCTGCCTTCACTTTTAACAACAGTGTGCCGAGGGGGTTTGACACGTTTGAAAGGATCCAGCTCACACTAGATGATGATGATGCTGGCCTTAGCAACAGCCCTCTCCTCACCAGCCTGCCCGGGCAGCTTTTGAAATCACCCCAGCGACAAGTTTACGACTGCATGCCAGAGGCAGAGAGCAATGAGCACAACAAGGTACCAGAAGAGGAGGAGGAAGAGGAGGTAGAAAGATTTGAGTGTCACACTGAGAACATGGCTAAGGGATTTCTAAGCAGCGATACCAGTTGTAATGAACTCCCCAACTTTATCTTAGCAGCAAATGTTCTTGCTCTTGGACAGCCAGAGCTACAGCCTAACTGTGAATCATCTTATAATTCTTCTGAGTGCTTCCAGGGTAACTTAAACCCAAAGTCGATGTCCTCCACTGTTTCCTCTAAGAGCAACGGACCAGCCTCTGATGTGAACGACAGCCCAGAGTTTGAGATGAAAAAACAATTTGACATGGTCTTGAAAGAGCTGAACTTGTTTTTTGATATCAGTAGAAATGATTTTGCAAGCGACAGTAGAGCATCGTCACCTGAGCGATTTAGTAGTATAATTGAAGCTTTGGAGGGCAACACTACAAACTGCAAAGAACATTTCAGCAGCCCAGAACTGGGACGCCCATCATCAGGTAAACTGCAAACAACACAACTCTGCTTTTATGAATTCAGTCACATGAAGTAATTGAGGTTCAGATACCACAGTAAGCACCATTAGAAACATTCCCTTGACCATCCTGATTAACTAGCAATATTTCTTTCACAGATGTTACTGTAAGATTCATGTTTACTCTGCGTACTATCACTATGAACAGTATGTCCACCTCAGAAACCTTTCTGTTCATAACGAAGGTCATATTAAAGTAATAATATGCTAAAGGACATTTTATTCTTAGTGCTGCTGACGAGCAATGTGACGGTAGGGATTTTATCTTACAGCAGTGAAAAAGCAACGTATCACTGTGGTTTGGCAGTTTACCATCAGTGCCTACATGCCTGTATCATCACTGCTCTGCATTTTTATAAGCTATGATGATCTGATCATATCATATCACTCACCTGCATCCAGGAGTAGTCTCTCTCCCTCTTCCTTTCCTTGCAGTTCTTCTACTCATACAACTGAGGTTACACCCAGTAACTGCAGTAATTAATGGCAGAATGTTACCTGCAGAAACACTGTTTTTGCAACTTCAGTAAAAGAGACTGTTTTTTGTTTTTTTGTTTTTTGTTACAAACCAAATTATATCTCGTGACGTGTAACAAATTAGCCGTGGGCGTGAATTGAGCAAGGCTGCAGAGTGGTGACTGCAGACAGAGCCAAAGTAGTGCATTCTTCAATTCATTTATTATATCAGCTCCAAAACAAAAAGCAGCGATGACAAGGATGACCTCATCACTGCGGTAGCATCAGGTGATCGTGGTATTGCAATGATGGTTATGGTCACTGCCCGACTACTGAATGTTGTATCGCCATCCAAACAATAATCACATCATAGAATATGCTGTAGTAGTACTGCAAAGATTTCACATTTAGGTTTGTTACCACAGATAGTTTATTCATTTAATTCATTATCCTTAATCGCTTAACCTAATCCGAGTCACAGAGGGGCTGGAGCCTCTCCCTGCTGACATTGGGCGAGAAGCGGGGTACACCCTGGATAGGTTGTCAGACTATGACAGGGCTGACACACCAGACAGACAACTGTTCACACTCACATTCACATCAAAGACTTCCTTTGTGTGTGTATCCAAATGCACAGTGCAAAAGATACTGAAACTGAAATAGTTATGTCAGCAAAAACAATAATTTGCCAGTCTCCTCTGGTAGCGTGGCAACCCTGATGGTCACAACAAGAGTCCAGAAATATTCCAGCAATGAAATATTCCAGCAATAAACCCCCCCATAACTCTTTGGCTTTTGTTCAAATTAAACAATGTGTTACAGTAATTAGTGAAGTCAAAGCCAGATATATATACTTTTGCACTGAACTGAGGCTGTACTTTGGGTGTAGGCTCTGCGTAGATGCATGCCCCATCCTTCAGTGGAGATAAAGCTTTTATTAACCGTTATTTCACAGATAAGAAAGAATAAATTGGGAAGACAATAAAGCCCCCACAAAATAGCATTTGAAGTCTTGTGTGTGATTTATCCCAGCTTCAAGACGTGTTCATGAGCAGTTTTTTCTCCAGTTTGGACAGACCCAGTTGAGCTGTTTCCTTCAGCTTTCAGTGTCAATACTACAAAAAGCTAATCAGCTGCTGGCCCTAGCCTCATTTCTAGCAAACAGATGGTATCGATCTTTTCATCTAACTCTCGGCAAGAAAGTGAATAAGCGTGTTCTCCATAATGTACTAACTGTTCTTTTAACCATCTGAGCTATGTAAACTACTGTATCTCGACACCATGCTGCCAAGGAAACAAGGGCATTTTTAAAAATTCTGTCTATATTTTCTGTTAAATTTCCTTATATTGAAAAACAATTGAGGTAATAGAAGTTGTGACTTATAGCGTTTATAAATGGAACCACTTCCTTTTGACTTTTCTGATGAAGTGAAGTGAAAATTCAAGCTCCCATAATTAGATTCAATATACAACACTGTGTAAAAGCATTGATAAGCTAAAGTTAGGTAATTAAATCGAGGACGACCACTAGACTCAGTCTTGTATAATATGACCATGAGACTTAAAAACAGACTTAAAGTTTTTTAATCCTTTTTATTGACACGGTGACTTTGTTCAAACACTGATGCTAGAAAAACATGAAACCACAGCTGTGTCCTAAAACATTCTGATCGCACTGTGTGTTGCATGTCTGTTGTTTAGATGCCAATGAAGACCACAGCCTGGAAATGTGTGGAGGTGATCCAGTGGTTTCTTTCACTTCTGGCAGCGGTGACGGCGAGCAGGAGGTGCCCCTTGGCAGCCAGCTGTGCCAAGAAACATCCATGTACACTGCAGAGGAACAACACAAAGGTTTATTTTCTTTTTCTAAAAAAAAGACAAAAAACAAAAACAAAAAACAAAACTTGTATTCTATCTTCAAAAGAATCAATTATCATCAAGTGTCTCAGTAATTAGTGTTTATAACAAGGGTGAAATTAAATTTTGAGTAAAATAGTGGTTTGCTTTTTTTTTTTTTTTTTACAAAAAAATGATGAATCTGGGGAAAAAAGCATTACACGGAAATTGTTTAATTACAGTTAACTGTGCTTTTATTCCATTATTTTCAGTGTTTCATGGTTTCATGTTTTTCCACAGTGTTGGGTGATAGACTTGAAAAGGCCAGCTAGGTTAATTCACTGGGGAATCACAATTACTTTTATTGATTTGTCTTTTCAAATTGACACAGCTTCCTGTCACGAATGTTCAAATATTCATTTCCCTTCCTCAGTAAGCTGCAGTGGAACGATAACACAGCCATGAATGCAAAAACATTGTTTAAGGGTAAACAGCACAACAAATAAGACAGAATTAGCCGGTCCCTCCTGACTGTCTCTGACTGTCAATATGTTCCTTTCAGAGCCCCGGGAGATGGATCAGAAGAGGAAAATGTGGTCTCCGTCCTTTGCGTGTCAACCATTCTTGGAACACCTGAGCCTCAGTGAGTTTCGTATCGTGGTGGCAGACAAAGACTGAAAAACCCCTGAGCATTTTATTGATTAAATGTGGATTTTGGAACAAGAGTCACATTTGTTTCAAGACTGAAAGAAGGGACACATATTGTCTTAATTGGTGCACAATGGCATGGATCAGTAATTGTATATCATTTTGGCTTTATTTGTTATTATATAGTGACATAGAACAAATTGAATAAACAAAAAGGTATGAACAGAGTGAGCATAGGAGCTGGTCTCCACTGCATTATGAACCCAAGTGTGTCTGCTGGGAGTTAAGTGAGCTGGCCTCTGAATATTTAAGAGGTGAGTGAGTCTAACAAGCTGCCTACCTGAAGATGCAATGTGTTCACCTTGTCAGTTTGAGGGAATAAATCAGTCTAATAGCATGGCTACTGTCTCTGCACATTGAGAAGCACTATGTTTATCTTGTCAGCTTTGGTAAGAAAGCTGAAAGCATCAGGAAAAGCAGTGTGTCTATTTTTCTTTGCAACCATTAGGAGGAAACAAAAGCCAAAATGTTCTGCGGAGCTTTAGGCCTGAACAAACACATATCCGATGCACCATGTAGAGGATGGAGGTTTCGATGCTGCCAGGCATGCAGAACTGGTACATACTGTGCTGTTATATCTTAGTGTTTTTTTGTGTGTGTACAGGACAGCTGGAGCAACCCAGGAGACTGGAGCCTCTGAGGACATGCACACGACCGATCCGGGTTGGACTCTCAAAGAGAGCTAAGACCAAACACCTACACCGCCCCCACCCATACAGATGAACATCAGAAATGCAGTGAAGGTGACAGGCAGGAGTGTTAATGAAGCTTTTCTTTGTTGCCATGTTCAACAACTGAGATGTTATTTTCTGATTCACAATATACGGCTAATGCTTCTCTTGTGCTAAAAACTCTTGGTTTTTGGCAAGTGGTTGTGGTTCCTGTACATTTTTACTGCCTCTTTATCGAGGGAAGGCTGAATCCACAAATTCAATGCCCTGTCGCATTTACAAATTTACATGCATCCTCTCATTTGGGGTTCCCATAAAATCATAGCCTGCTGCAGCAGCTAGGGAGTAAATGCCTTGCTAAAGAACACCCTGACAGTATTTATTGACAAATGAAAACCTGCTTCCTGGCCACATGTTCCCTGCTGGAAAGATATTCTAGTTTTAAGAATATCATCCCCAGTATTTATGTTTCTATCTATTTATATATTTATTCATTCATTTGCATTTGGGTTTTAAAAATGTTTACATCCTTGTTGGTCTTATTTATATACTACCTAAAAGTTAATATTTATATGAACTAGTTTTAAACATTGCTGCATAAATATATTGTTTAAAATACATCCACTTCTTATAGGTTTGTTACGTGTAATTGGTTCGATGTGTTTCACTGTAGGTGTATTAATACAGTGCGCTGCTTGTTCCTGTTATGTGTGGGTGTATTCAGTCAGGGTAAATCAGCTGAGTATGCTCTGTTACTGCTGTGCTCTGTTTTAACCATTAAATGGGTTCACGTGTACTGTATGCAACATATCCTTGAGCAGTTCTGTGGGAGGTTAGCTGGAGTTGAATTTCAAAATAGCCTGTTGTTCACTATTTTATTAAATAATACAAATGCATCTAAAATGTGTTTTTTCATCTATATAGCATGCGTGGCTCTACCTTTAGGCAAAACATAGATCCAAGCTTGTTATTTTGACAAACAAGTGGAGTTTATTCAGTTTTTGATGTTGTTCCATCACTTAGGAGAAGCGGTGATGCTCAACATTTGTCTCTGTCTAGTTTGTTTTTCAGCTGTGATTGAAAATCTACAGAAAAACTTACTGTTTGTTTCAACTCATAAGTTGGTCAGCTGAATGCACTCTTTACTGTGACAGAAGAACACATTTCAGTTTTAGTAACATCTTGCCATACTACCTGAACACAACATAACAATACATATTAATAAACAGATTACAAATTAGTACCACCATATCTTTAAACTCTTCTAAAAAAGCACTAAATGCTTATAGGCCCCCTCCATTGTTTGTCTTCTGTTTATGTCCCCTAAATGTGTCTGACCTTGACTATACTAACTTGTATCTCTGCAAATTTGACGCTTGAGAGGTGTTATCACATTCCTCTACTGAAGGGGTCGATGTCTGTGCATTTCTCCTAAAGTCTGAGATTCTAACATACACCAGGTACAAATTAGCGAATCCCAGGAAAATAAAGGAATGACCCGCCCTACTCTCCTTGTGATTGGCTAGTAACCATTACCTTTGTTGGTTGGATTGGTTAGGTTTAGGCAAGAGGAGTGAGATTGGTTCGGGTTAGGGTTAGGCACAGCAAGGCAGAGTAAGGCCGGCCATTCCTTTACAATCCTGGGATTCACAAATAGGCACACCGGGCAAACTAGACTAGTCACTAATATGAAAACCAATCGCTGTCTGATAAAGGACACATATCGGCGGGGAAACAGACTTTGACAGAACACTGGCCTGAAAATCAGTGCAAAGTGGACTTGTCAGTACAGAGAGCAGAGTTAGCATTAGCATAGTGAAAGTTTTGACAGCAAACATGTCTGATGTTTCTTCTGACCCTAACATCAGTCATTTTGATGCACACTGCTCTTTGACTGGTCAACCTAGCACGAGCATCACAGAGGAAAGCAAAAGCAGAACTTATCATGGTGGGCAGGTCGAAGGCCAGATCCAGAACTTCTCAATTAGAGAGAAAAGGTAGCTCTGCTTCCAGCTCCTTGTCAGAGTTTTGTTTTTTTTGTTGTTGTTTTTTTACTATTATGTGGGAAAACTATGTTGAGCAGAATTTAAGACATGTCTGGAGGGGGACTTTAAATGAAGTTTCCAATTACAACAGGTAGAGAGATACTGAGCTGATCATAACAGTGCTTGTCGTAGTGGTTGCAGGCAGAAGAGACACCTCAGCTCAAGTTATAACGATGAATGATATGAAGAGAGCTGTTTGGGTTTGTTTACCTGTCACCCTCAGCTCTCTATATGTGAAGCGAATAGGTTTGTTTTTATTCTTCAGTCAGGCTGCGGAACATATAGTGCATGTTGGAGACAGATCCAGTGAGCAGTAGCGAGGAAAAAATGACAACCTGACCACACCTGTTTAAATTATTACCATAGCTGTGTTGTCAGTGCTTTCTTTTCTTCTTTGTGTGCTAGTCAATGCAGCATTGTTCAAGAAATTAAAAACAGAAGATAAAACAAACTGAGGCCCTTCTAAGTATTTTGTGATCTGAAACTTGGCCTTGACTTCCTCTTTGCAAAGGCACACATTAGATAAACTAGAAATTACATCACACAGTTTGTTGTATAAACTGTAATTATGATTTTTCTCTTAAATCTAGCTCCAATTGTTCCCTTTTTGTTAGCAGGAGTCCCCCTCAGTGTATTTCATCAAAGCAATCTGACCATTGTTGTATTCACGGATGTTTTTCAGGACTCATTTTTCATGTCCTGATCACATCTCTGAATCAAAATGGTAGGATTTTATTTTAGTAAATATAACAGTTTTTTGGGGGAGCATTTTGTATCAATGAGCAAGGTGCCTCAGCTGGCAGACAGGCAAGTGAAAATCAAAAAGAAACAATGCCACGGTATGGCTTTCCAAAAATAATTGGATTCAGACGCTACACATTCAATCTGCCTTTTTAATCAGGCACAGTCTGTGAAGGCTGAGGGAGTTGAATTAGTTTTTTTTCCAGTTGATAATGACTTTGTTAGCACTAGTTGTGTCTGAGCGGTATTTGCCCAGTTTGTTTGCTGATTTTATTGCAGGGCTTAATCATCACATGGATATGGATATATTTCCTACCGTTTTTTTATCCCTACAACAATATCTATTATTCTAACAACTTAATGTTCCAGTCATTGTCTTTAACAAGATCAAGTTTACATCTGCAGTTACTGGAGCAGCATTTGATATCTTGATATTTCTCACTGATTACACACAGGCCAGAAATCTTTTGGTTTTAGTTACACTTCACTTGAAGTGCAGTGGAGTGTGTCACCTATGCACTATTCTTACATAATTGTCACATTTCAAAATTAAAGCATGACAAGGCATTCCCACACGAGGGTGGGAAATGAATTCCAGACAGTTTTACAAGTTAATGAACCAGACTATTATCATTAGGAAGTCTGTTCTCCTCTAAAAATGCACTTGGCCTAAATACTGAAGGTACATTTGAAAATAGACTTTGGTGAATTTGGAACACAATACAGTTCATAATAACTCAGTTTGTAAGTCGGTCTTTTAAGAGACTGCCTATATGATTGTTTTCTAAACTTTTTATATTTATAGAATTTTATTATTAGTTATTACTATGAAATAAAAAATGTCTTTACCTCATAAAATGTTCTTGAGGCTTTCAATTATTTTTAACTCTCTTGACCTTCACACAGTCCCATTTATGAATATTTTAATTTTTACACAATGTAATGTGTCTCTGATTAATTAGAAACACATTAAATGAGGGACTGAAATGGAAAGTGTTGCAGTAATGGACGTAGCCAGTTTGACATCACCCATTGGTTTCATAACTGCCATTATGAAGCTTCAAGTTTGGCACTTTTGGGCCATCTTGGTTTTTTGGAGCCAGAAGTGACCACATTTTGATGAGAGGGTGGAGCTGACTCATAGACTGTGTTGACAGTCCGTGTACTTCGCGGCCATTCATTTTTCATTTCGAAATAACAAATTGAAACACGGAAAACCAACCATTATCCGTTTTTTGTTTTGAAATGACCAAAGGAAAAAGGAAAAAAACGATCCGTCTCCCATTTTTTATTTGATAATAAAGAAAAGAAAAACGGAAAACGAATCGTTATCCATTATCCGTTATCTGATTTAATTTGGGAATTTTAAAAAAAAAACCCTGTGGGAAACTCCTTTCTCACGGACCGTTGACGCCTTGCAGACAGCCTGTCAATCAAAGTGCCCACGCCCTTATATATGCATAACTTAGCCAAATAAAATGTAAACAGGTGAATATAAATTTCAGCCTCCATACAGTTTTCATGAATGGGGAATTAGCTAATTAGCCCTAAAGTGGACATTCAGAGTACTGCAGTTTTTGGCACTTAAGTGTTGGCCTCATTTTTTTCCTGGAGGTTGCATCTTGTTGGGAACACGTGCGGAAGGCAGAGCCTCATGTGGCAAAGTTCCACAATAGGGAGAGCTAAATGTTAACGTAACACCTCATAATCAAGATAACTTGACATTGAAAACGTGACCATGCTAGCAGCTCTCTTAGGCTGTACTGAGGTGTAGTGGTGCTTTGAGCTAAATGCTAATGTTAGTATGCTAATGTGCTCACAATAACAATGCTAACATGTTGATGTTTAGCTTAGATTAGTGTGTTAGTGTGTGTAGTGTCAGAACAGTAGTGTGTTAGTAGGCTTCATTTACTATTAAGCACCATCACAGTTTGTACAAAATCCCATGACAATCCATCCAATAGTTGTTGAGATATTTCAGTGTGGACCAAAGTGGTGGACCGATAGGCTGGAATTGCTATCCGATTAGCCAGGTCATTAGCTTAAAATACAAGGATGTGCGTGATTGTTTTTGTTATTGTACGTAAAACTCTTATTTTCCATTTGTTGCTTATCAAGGCAACGATGTGCAGTTGGGCTGAGATGTGTTATGATGTAAACGATGACCCTGGTCCATGTTCCAGCAATAATGTTGGCAGTGAAAATCATTTTTTTAACTGATGTGAATCTCAATTTTCTTTTCCCTTCTACTTCAGATGTGATGTTAGGTTCCCTTGAACTTGATTCTGCTGCCTCTCTATGTAACATGAAAGAGACATTACAGCATTAGAAACAGCGCAGAGACTTCAAAGGCTCCACTGGAGCCAGAAGTTATCTCTTTTTTTTCTTTTAAGTTCTTACAAAATTACTCCT